TATTCAACATATAACACGCATATAAAGCCAAACGAGAAGCCAGTCGCTCTCGTTCGCTCAATATATCGTTATCCATTCCACCACCTGAATCTATTCCAAGTGATTTTGATGTTTTCTTTAACATAAGTTAAGTGTAAAGAATAAACTGTAAAGAATTATCATCAGATTATCGTGATCAAAGTATTGTTAAGTAAAAAAAAAAAAAAAAAAAAAAAAAAAAAAAAATCCAAATTAATTGACTAATTACAATCTTTACAAGGAAATAGTGCAGATGTTTTTATTCTATTATTCATTTTCTTCCTCTGGTTCTTTCGTCGTTTGACATTCACGGTCAGTTTTCTAAGGTGATACTAGATAAATCTCTAATAATACACGCACATGCATCTGAATGTGTATATATGTGTGTGTGTGTATAAATAGACACATTTCTTAATATATCTGTATATACATTCATAACTAGATCTATCTATATCTGTATCTCTCTCTCTCTCTCTCTCTCTCTCTCATATATATATATATATATATATATATATATATATATATATATATATATATGTATGTATGTATGTATGTATACAAGTATACCGCGGTATTTCATTTCTATCTATACATCTTTCTGTCTCTATCGATCGAACTGTCTAGTTTCGAAGTCTATATGCAACATACGCAGTTATTTGCCCTGCTCTTCCCTTATTTGTTCTGTTTACAATCTGCTCAGCATGAATCCTCCTTATCTCCTCCTTATCTCCGGGGAGAACCTGCTTCGGAGGAGGAATATTTTAGCCTTTTCTATTTCCTTTGACGGAGATAAAGATTAGAAACTGGATTAAAGGGATTATTCTGAATCTTTGGAAGTCAATTCTGACGTCATTCTTCCACCTTATAAGGCGAAACCCTCGTACACACAAATCACTCGAAAAGAGAACCTCACAGCACACCAAACGACTCAATCATCTGTCTACATTTGTAGCTTTAAAAATGAAGTTTCACAGGTGTGTAAATGCCTTAGCTGTGCCACAGTTTATTTCAGAGACATAGATATATAGGATATATAGGATGCACTACAAACGAAAATACACATTGAGTCATTAAGACCAAAAATGTATAGTTAAATATGTTCCGTCAGGCATATCAATATTCTTATTTCCGTCAGCTTGGTCGCGTGTCTGTCGCTGCTGGTCGTCGTAGGAGTGAGTCACGGCCTCCCAGCCGTCGTCACGGCCCCTCCTCAAGTGGCCGCCCAGTGCCCCTACACGCCGGGGCCGATCCCTCTGCTGCTGCCCAACCCCGTCGACTGCGGCTCCTTCTACATGTGCAGCTGGTACGGGACGGCCCTGTTGCAGCACTGTCCTCCTGTGCTGCACTTCAACGCCAAACTGCAGGTGTGTGACTCTCCTGAACACGCCAACTGTGCCCAGAAAACCACAACTGCTCCTGTCTCCAGCACCACTACTGCTGTGCCAGTCTCCAATGTGACCACAGCTGTTCCTGTCTCCAATGTGACCACAGCTGTTCCCGTCTCTAATGTGACCACAGCTGTTCCCGTCTCCAATGTGACCACAGCTGTTCCCGTCGCCAACGTTACTACAGCTGCCCCAGCCTCCAATATAACTTCAGCTGTTCCAGTCAACAGAGCAGCCACAGCAGGAGTGAGTCACGGCCTCCCAGCCGTCGTCACGGCCCCTCCTCAAGTGGCCGCCCAGTGCCCCTACACGCCGGGGCCGATCCCTCTGCTGCTGCCCAACCCCGTCGACTGCGGCTCCTTCTACATGTGCAGCTGGTACGGGACGGCCCTGTTGCAGCACTGTCCTCCTGTGCTGCACTTCAACGCCAAACTGCAGGTGTGTGACTCTCCTGAACACGCCAACTGTGTCCAGAGAACCACAGCTGCCCATGTCTCCAGCACCACTACTTCTGCCCCAGTCTCCAATGCGACCACAGCCATTCCTGTGTCTAATATAACTACAGTTGTTCCAGTCAGCAATGTAACCACAGCTGTTCCTATCTTCAACGGAACCACAGCTGTTCCTTCTCCACTGTGACCGCAGCAGTTCCAAACTCCAGTGTAATTGTAGCTGCTTCCAGATGTTCTAGTCTCTTGTATATCCAGTTGCTCCAGTATCCAGAGTAACTCAGACGAACGCCAACAATATTGCTGTCAAGATGTTTCTTAATATGCCAAGCATTTATTTCGGAATAAACTGCTTAAATACTTTATGTTTTGGACGCATATTTTACCTGATATTAGTTCTGCTTGGTTAAGAACATTTCAGATAAAAGGAAATGAAGAGGAAATAACAGGACACATAACTAACGCTTAAGAAAAATCAAGTTAAAGTAAAACTAATCTTTCACAAGATACATGAACACTCATAACAAATCAATAATAAAGAAGCTATTGCATGAGAAATTGCGCAACGTTATAAAAACAGTTAAATAGATCATTACAAATTAATAAATGGCCCCACTGCAAAAAACAATTGGTCTAGAATTTAATGGCGATAAGAAATCTTAAGCTGATGAATCTGAAGGCGAATGCAACATAACACTCAACAGGCATAAAACGCTGCTTTTCACTTTCTGGAAAAATGGTTGTGTCATGTAAAAAAAAAAAAAAAAAAAAAAAAAAAAAAAAAATATATATATATATAATATATATATATATATATATATATATATATATATATTATAATATAATTGTTGTAGTGTAGGATGAGGCTTGTCAAGGATCAGAAAATATATGAAGTGATTACGGACTTCGTTTCACAACCAATACTTGTAAAACAAGTGTTGGTTTAATGGGTGATGTATGTTCACTGTAATTTTGGAATATAAAAATTGTGTCGGAAGGTGTGAAAAATGTCTTAAATGTTTTTCCTTTATAGAACTAGCACTTATAACCCCATGGATTGTGAATCACAACAAGCAATAATCTTAATGTTACAGCTGATTATTCCATCTCAATTGAGGGTGCTAAGCATCGTGCCCAGCCAGCTAGTCACACGCTCGTCTATCAAAGGGACTCATAAAACATAGTCCTACATTCCATAGTCCTACATGACAAGCAAATAGTCATAGGGCTCCTTCCACATGTGCATGGCATTAAGTGATTAGGTTAATCTTTTCATAATATTGGAGTATATATTTCTTATGATTGTCATCATCATACCTTGGTTATATATTTTGTTATTCCTAATCAGGGCTCTCACTTTCAAGGTAATTACCTTAGTTCGAGGTAATTCAAGTACTTTTAAGGTAACGTTTAAGGTAATGCAAATTTTAAGGTAATTTTAACCTAATTCTTATTTTTTGTATGATATAAAGATAAGTATTATTGATGATCTAGTGTGATAACACTTTGGACATTCGTACTGTGAGTTAGTATTTGAAAATGCGTGATTTTTTTGTATCTTGTAATGATAACTATTATTGATGATCTAGTATGATAACACTTTGGACATTCGTACTGTGAGTTATTATTGAAAATGCTTTGTATCTTGTAATGATAACTATTATTGATGATCTAGTATGATAACACTTTCGGCAGTCTTACTGTCAGTTAGTAATTGAAAATGTTTTTTTTTTTTTTTTTTTTTTTTTTGTAAAGATGTGTGTTATTTGTGTTGAAGAAGGAAAGGGCATTATTTTTTTTTAATGATTCCAGCAATGCTAAAGTTGTGATGTAGCCTATCAGGTCTATTGAAGAATGCTTATATGTGTATTATGGTTGATTGCTACCTAAAACTAGACCTGTTCAGTTGTGCAATCGTCATTAAAAGTATCAAGAACAAAGAAAGTTAGGATGAAATCATATTTTCATAAAAAACTAAGGTAATTTTCAGGGATATGCTCCAACAGTTCTAAAGTAATTCGCTGAAATCTAAGGTAAAAAACGTCATCTAAGGTAATGTTCATCTCTGCTTGTGAGAGCCCTGTTACTAATACTCATATATATTGTTATTGACATATATAGATATTATCTTCATAATAAGACCTGAACAAGCATGAAATATAAGGGACTGTGAGAGGCGAGTAAAAACTACCCTATTCAACATATAACACGCATATAAGGCCAAACGAGAAGCCAGTCGCTCTCGCTCAGTACATCGTTATCCATTCCACCACCTGGATCTAGTCCAAGTGATTTTGATGTTTTCTTTAACATAAGTTAAGTGTAAAGAATAACTGTAAAGAATTATCATCAGATTATCGTGATCAAAGTATTGTAAGTAAAAAAAAAAAAAAAAAAAAAAAAAAAAATCCAATTAATTGACTAATTACAATCTTTACAGGAAATAGTGCAGATGTTTTTATTCTATTATTCATTTTCTTCCTCTGGTTCTTTCGTCGTTTGACATTCACGGTCAGTTTTCTAAGGTGATACTAGATAAATCTCTCTAATAATACACGCACATGCATCTGAATGTGTATATATGTGTGTGTGTATAAATAGACACATTTCTTAATATATCTGTATATACATTCATAACTAGATCTATCTATATCTGTATCTCTCTCTCTCTCTCTCTCTCTCTCTCTCTCTCTCTATATATATATATATATATATATATATATATATATTTATATATGTATATATACAAGTATACCGCGCTATTTCATTTCTATCTATACATCTTTCTGTCTCTATCGATCGAACTGTCTAGTTTCGAAGTCTATATGCAACATGCGCAGTTATTTGCCCTGCTCTTCCCTTATTTGTTCTGTTTACAATCTGCTCAGCATGAATCCTCCTTATCTCCTCCTTATCTCCGGGGAGAACCTGCTTCGGAGGAGGAATACCTTAGCCTTTTTTATTTCCTTTGACGGGGATAAAGATTAGAAACTGGATTAAAGGGATTATTCTGAATCTTTGGAAGTCAATTCTGACGTCATTCTTCCACCTTATAAGGCGAAACCCTCGTACACACAAATCACTCGAAAAGAGAACCTCACAGCACACCAAACGACTCAGTCATCTGTCTACATTTGTAGCTTTAAAAATGAAGTTTCACAGGTGTGTAAATGGTTTTGCTGTGTCACAGTTTATTCCAGAGACATAGATATACAGGATGCACTACAAACGTCATTAAGACCAAAAATGTATAGTTAAATGTTCCGTCAGGCATATCAACCAATTCTTATTTCCGTCAGCTTGGTCGCTTGTCTTTCGCTGCTGGTCGTCGCAGGAGTGAGTCACGGCCTCCCAGCCGTCGTCACGGCCCCTCCTCAAGTGGCCGCCCAGTGCCCCTACACGCCGGGGCCGATCCCTCTGCTGCTGCCCAACCCCGTCGACTGCGGCTCCTTCTACATGTGCAGCTGGTACGGGACGGCCCTGTTGCAGCACTGTCCTCCTGTGCTGCACTTCAACGCCAAGCTGCAGGTGTGTGACTCTCCTGAACACGCCAACTGTGCCCAGAAAACCACAACTGCTCCTGTCTCCAACACCAGGTGCGTCTCCAATGTGACCACAGCTGTTCCAATGTGACCACAACGCAGCTGTTCCCGTCTCCAATGTGACCACAGCTGTCCCTGTCGCCAACGTTACTACAGCTGCCCCAGCCTCCAATATAACTTCAGCTGTCCCAGTCAACAGAGCAGCCACAGCAGGAGTGAGTCACCGCCTCCCAGCCGTCGTCACGGCCCCTCCTCAAGTGGCCGCCCAGTGCCCCTACACGCCGGGGCCGATCCCTCTGCTGCTGCCCAACCCCGTCGACTGCGGCTCCTTCTACATGTGCAGCTGGTACGGGACGGCCCTGTTGCAGCACTGTCCTCCTGTGCTGCACTTTAACGCCAAACTGCAGGTGTGTGACTCTCCTGAACACGCCAACTGTATCGAGAGAACTACAGCTGCCCATGTCTCCAGCACCTCAACTGCTGCTCCAGCCTTCAATGTGACCACAACTGTCCCTGTCTCCAACGTAACTACAGCTGTCCCAGTCTCAAATATAACTACAGCTGTTCCAATCAACAATGCGACCACAACTGTTACTTCGTCAGCGTGACCACACCTTTTCCAAACTCCACTGTAACCGCAGCTGTACCCAGCTGGTCTATGTCTCTATGCATCCAGTGTCCAGGGTGACCACGCCTGGACCAGACCAGAGTGCGAATCACAAGCACAATCAAAATGCCTCCCAATGTATCCTGCATTTACTTTGCAATAAACTTTTTGAAATCGAACATTATATTTTGCACGCATTTCTTTCATGATGGTTATTCTGGTTAGCTTACATAACTGCAGAAAATTAATGATGTGAAGAGAATAACATTAATTTCACAAGAATATAAAACAAACAACGAATATTAAGATTATAATAGACCTTTCTTGAGGTAGACACCAATGGCAACAATAATTATTTTGACGGACAAGAATGTAATATTGAACTTAAAGTTCATTCAATTTACAAAAGGTGATGGAAAATAACGAAGGACTTGGCGATTGCTTATATTTCAGAACAGATTGTCTGGGATGCACTCGCAAGAAGAAATGTAAAAGTAACCAAAGCCTAAAAGGTCTTCTGAAGAGTTCTATTTCGATGAACCTGGAAATGAGAATATAGTTAGAAGCACAGAATTTGGAAACAAAGGCTAAACAAATCGTGACATTATGAGAATGATAATAATAATAATAATAATGAAATGGAAATGGATCTGTCCACTTCGTTTTTGCGTCGTCTGATGAAACCAGTTTGGATTCAAAACGCGATTTTTCCCTACAGTGGCCGTTTTATCTTATTGGGATATTAGAGTATAGTGATGCGTTGCATAAAGTAGGATAAAGTAAACAGCATGGAAGAAAAAAGAAAATTACAAAAAAGCCTGACCAGAATTTGCGACGCCTGATCATGATATATGGAACAGGAAAAACAAAACAATTATTAAGGAATGAGGAGATGAGAAGAATTATCATATAGTTCTGAATATTTGTTCATGTTTTAACAGTCGGTGTTTCATCCCTCGGGAATTTGTTATCTACAAAAGCAACTCCATAGATTGAGTTATAAGTTGTAAGGGACTGTCTATTAATATCTATAATGTTGTAACTGTCCAATGCTCCCTTGTGGACGCTGAGCTTTGCTTGAAATTATTTGTCTGGATAATACAAACAAGTAACGGTCTATCTGTCCACACCTTGTCACCATTATCTACTAGCGCAGATATGTTTATGTTTTTGTCTATATTTTAGGCAAAATGTATGCACATACATACGTATACATATAGACATATAAAAATGTGTGTGTGTGTGTATGTACGTATACATATATATGCGTGCATGTATATATATATATATATATATATATATATATATATATATATATATATATATATATAATGTATGAATGTATATATAATCTCGTTGATTTATTAGATTTATCGGTTATTCGTGTTATGGTTATTTATTTTCAAGCTTATAACTTGTACTACACAAGCAATCCATTTTTGTTGCACTGAACAAACATCTGCCTAACAAATGCGGTTTATCCCAAACATTTCCTCGGAATGTGAGAGGCAAATCGACCCCAAAAAACCCTCCCTTATCTTCCCATCGGCGCTTATCAGCTATTTCCGGAGAGAGATCCGTCCAAGAGGATTAAGGAACCTTATCTCGTGTCTTTCCGTCGCCACTGAGACGTCATCGAAACGTATGCTGGGGATTTAATCCGAGGTCCTCGACGTCTGCTCTTTGACGTCACTCCTCGTTCTTATAAGCAAGACGCTCGTCCGACCAACGCATTCGAGAGGATCGTTCTTAACACGAGAAGCTCCTTCAACGCCAGGCACCTCAGCGTCTACCTGCATTTGGGCAATCAGTGAAAACATCTAAAACATGATGTTTAAAAGGTGTGTAGATTTCCATCAATCTCGTCTTATCGTTTAAATGGTAAAAGTAAGGGAGTAATAAAAATAAAAAAACAAAACTGTGGAATGTGTTTTTGTGTTTTTTTGTTTCAATACGAAGCACACCACCTCCAATACACATGTTCGCATGTGTCTGACAGGGGCGCTAGGAATCCAACTGTAAGCCAAGGCGCCCAGCCCTGGAACCACTGGTTGAGATGCTAACATCATCTTTCTATGCCATATGGGTCACAAACATTAATTTTTTAGTATCGTATTCTGTAAGGAAGAATAACAAAACTTTACTTCATCTCCGTCAGTTTGGTCGCGTCTCTGTCGCTGCTGGTCGTCGCAGGAGTGAGTCACGGCCTCCCAGCCGTCGTCACGGCCCCTCCTCAAGTGGCCGCCCAGTGCCCCTACACGCCGGGGCCGATCCCTCTGCTGCTGCCCAACCCCGTCGACTGCGGCTCCTTCTACATGTGCAGCTGGTACGGGACGGCCCTGTTGCAGCACTGTCCTCCTGTGCTGCACTTCAACGCCAAGCTGCAGGTGTGTGACTCTCCTGAACACGCCAACTGTGTACAGAGAACCACAGCTGCCCCTGTCTCCAGCACCCCTACTGTTGTGCCAGTCTCCAATGTGACCACAGCTGTTCCCGTATCCAATGTGACCACAGCTGTTCCGTCTCCAATGTGACTACAGCTGTTCCCGTTTCCAATGTGACCACAGCTGTTCCGGTCTCCAATGTGACCACAGCTGTTCCTGTCGCCAACGTTACAACAACTGCCCCACTCTCCAATATAACTTCAGCTGTCCCAGTCAACAGAGCAGCCACAGCAGGAGTGAGTCACGGCCTCCCAGCCGTCGTCACGGCCCCTCCTCAAGTGGCCGCCCAGTGCCCCTACACGCCGGGGCCGATCCCTCTGCTGCTGCCCAACCCCGTCGACTGCGGCTCCTTCTACATGTGCAGCTGGTACGGGACGGCCCTGTTGCAGCACTGTCCTCCTGTGCTGCACTTCAATGCCAAACTGCAGGTGTGTGACTCTCCTGAACACGCCAACTGTATCGAAAGAACCACAGCTGCTCATGTCTCCAGCACCACTACTGCTGCCCCAGTCTCCAATGGGACCACAGCTGTTCCCGTCTCAAATGTGACCACAGCTGTTCCGATCTCCAATGGGACCACATTATGATAAAACCAGTCCCAGTCCCAATATAGCCACATCTATTTAGGATCGCATTATAACAGCTGTTCTTCTAGTCATCAATACAATCACACAGATTCTAAACGCCAGTACTATAGCATTTATTCGGTTTTGGTAGAACTAAAAGATTTTCTACCTTGTTATCCATCTATCACTAATGTCTTCTTTTTTCAATAAACTTCTTAAAAACAAACATCTTTCGTACATTATTATACAATCTACACAACTTAGGTAATTATACATCTGAAGACAAAATGAAACGTTAAAAGTCATCTTGCAAAACTAGAGCTACATAAGAGGAAAATTAAATGCACTTACAGTAAGAACACTATAGGGTAAATAATGAAGACATGTTGAAAAGAATTTCTTAGCAAAGAAGGATTAAGACTATTGAATTAAGGAATTAAGACCGCAATAGTTAAATATTGTTTTGGAATTATGAAACAAGCCACTGCATTACCCTGGCAACAGAATCTAGACTTGATATGTGATAATATATATGCATATATATTGCGAGTGTGTGTCTGCCCGCTTCTCATGCAGTCATGTCATGGTGAGTGCCATACTCAGTGAAATGAAACAGTGATGCTTTGTGTGATAACTATGTATGACGGTCAAAAAGCCTAAAGCCTGTAATTTCTTATATCTTAATAATTCGAAGACGACGCCACAGAAACACTAGTCATCTACCCGAGCGCCTATTATCGGCAAAGCGACCTGACCTGACCAAAAAATAATAAAATAAATGTGTTAAACATCAAAGATAATATTGCGCTATAGGAGACCACAGAATCGAAAAGGCTTCCCACCAAAGGAAGCCCCAAGAGGAGTTCTCCAGCCAGCGACCTCCTGCGCTGGGTCCCGGCCACGCCACAGCTCACACTGCCTGCATTATTTATCCCTGTGTATTTTTCTATCTGTTCTTATAACACCAATGAAGAGCCGAAGCCGTTTAA